AGAACGACATGTTCTTCCTCGGAATAGATGGTGAGATACAACGCGTTTGGTATCACGATTTGGGAAGGGACTCCCGATGTTTGGTGATTTTACTAGAGGTAGGAACAACTCCTGATGGTGTTCCAAATATTCTATTCGAAGGAAGTTACGAAGGCCTCAACAATGATCAAATAACTGGGTGGTCTTCCCGCTCTGGTATGGGACACTACCGATGGTTGAGAGGCCCTATCAATCATCTTCGAAGAGAACAGAGATCAGAGTATGTGGCGAATACAATTCGTCGCATCATAGATTTCCTCAACATATGATGACTGCTCCTCGTGGAACTCGTCCCTAGAAGGGGGGGTAATGTCACGGCCATAATCATGTAAGCTAATAATTACATATAGAAATAGGTAAAAGTAAATAAAAGTAGGTAAAAGTAAGTTAATTCTATAATATTTAATATAGAAGCTTCCTAGAAACTTCCTAGATGCTGCTTTGACTTCATAGGTGTCTTTAATTGACTTTTTGGATTAGAAACGTGGTCAACAAGTTGGCCATGTGCCACACATGTTGTTAGCTTGAAGATCAAGCTAACTATGTGGCCCACACATAGAAAAACTTGCCTTGTAAGTCAAGGCATGTGCCCTACAAAGTCAACACATATTGGAGGTCCTATAGAACGTCGCCACATAGCCCCTAGTTAGAGAGTATATATAGAGACAAGAGTGAAGGCTTCTTCACTCTTGTCAACTCCTTTCTTACTTCTAGTCTGTTTCAAGGGTCTCTAGTTTTCTTCTCTTTTGGCAATAGCCATTCCAGTTTCTCTTTCAATATACATACTTGTTTATATATATTTTGTTACCTCTCTTTGAGTGAATGCTCACTTGTTTGAATTGTTTTTTCATCGAATTCTTGTCCTTGACAGTAAGTTCACTACTTGCCATGCTTTTCCAAATATCCTGAGCAATATTCACTATTGTACCGAGCAAGAATTAAGCCTCTGTCCTCCAGCAATCGCATCAACTTCCATTCGATGACATTGACGTTGTGAAATGGGAACACTGGGCTTTGATTTTGCAAAGATTGTCGGACTACAATATCCAGGTCCACTGTCTTATCATGAATACATGGAGTAATACTGCACTTAAGGGACATATCCCAGCTTTAGAATCAATTCTGGTATTCCATAAGCTTGAGCTACGCCAAGACGTCCTGCGAATACGTGTGTATTCACCAAAAGAATTTCAATTCCAACTTCAATCACAAAGTGAGTATGACAGTGCTGAAGTTCAGAGTTTTCAGCTTTTGAACATGCCAAACATGTTTGTTCGGGACATCATCTCTTCGTCTTTTGAACAGTCTCCATGTTTTGTGCTTACGTTTGTTAACTCCAATAAAGAGATTCAATTTCATCTATTATTCCCAACTTATGTAAAAGCATATCAGGGCCTACTTGTGTTTCTTGAATGGACAACACTCGCTTCATCAACATAAGAGCCTCCTCGAACCTTTTGATGGAAAACAAGATGGACTACAAGCAGTTGCATGCTTCTCCTGCACAAGAATCGCCTTCCGTGAATATCTCTAAGTAATTCTTGTCAATGGGTTCTCAACTCCAGCTAATAACAATTGCCATAATATTAAAACCATCGATCTTCACCATCGTTATATCCAATATGTGAAGGTAAAATCAATGAAAAAACATGTTCTACACGTTATACACGGCCTTACATTATCTAGGTGTTTTAGCACTTCATACTGTCAACCTAGATAATGTACATACTTTTCGTACTTTCCAGATACAGCATAGAATGTTGCCAAATTCTGAAGATGAACCACTAAGGTAGGGTCATTGGGACTACTGTCTTGTTCTTTTGCATGCAGGTTTATCTCCCACAACTCATCGGCTTCGTCATGCCTGTGCACAGAAATTTTATCAGCCATAATTAAAACTCGAGACAGATCCAAAAGACTAAAGGGATCCAAGAAACCGGAAACAATGAAGTGTTCAAATCATCTATCTAAAATATTGAGCAACTCAGCAAGATCCGTACGCACTGTCTCCAAGGAAGGATCATCATCCATAAACTTGCTGCACTCTTCCATAACGTGTAACCCTTCCCTACATATGGATATGGATTCAACTATTGCACCTGAGTAAAACCTGGTGCTTTAGAACTGGAGTACTTTTTCGTGCACATTCAGGAAAATTCATGGAAAGGCAGTCAAAACAGACTAAATCAGAACAGGCTGAACCAAAAACCTATAATTGGCAAAAAACAGTTGTTACTTTACATTGGAAAAGTATTTTATGCAGGAATTCAGTTGTTAAACAGATACAAATCTCAAAACTGGAATATAAACTTATAAACTTATAAACTTGTGAATTATACAGCTTCGAGTTTTAGTATTTAGAATTTGAGAGAAAGCAGGGAAAAGACTAAAAAAAATAGGAAAGTGAGAAACAATCAAAGTGCATTTAAGTAAGTTTCCATAATTCACTTCTTGCAGCTTTAGCTCGAGCTAGAGCACACTTAGCGATACCTACTCTGCCGTTGTGAGCGCCATATGTTTGCTCCACAAGCTTCAATGCTCTGCACCACCAACTATTCTTTAACATCGGAGGAGGTTCAGTCCGTACTACCAAAAAACAAGGGCTAATGCGGATTCAAAGACCTGGCCAAAAGCCACTGGATTACGGGTCTTGCTTGCTTCTTTTCAGTAAATTATTTACAATTATATAGTTTAAAAAATAAATAATACCCTTATTTAGTACCAGCACACTTCTTAGACGTGTCAGTCATGTAGGACTAACATTAGTCGCTCTTATTCAGCCACAACCAACATCAAGTAGATAAGATAGACATTCCAGTAAACCCCTAAATTGCATCCAATCTTTTAAGTCTGAATATATCTGCATCCAAGCTTCATCCACTCTCCCTTCTTCCAAAAGACTGTGTCCTAAATGTGATAATGGGAGTGCCAGGGAATTATCAGTAGAGCCTCTGTTTTTCTCTATGACCATCAGTACTCTCTCGTAAACTTCAACGGCCCTAATAGTATTATCCATTTTAGTTAATGTGCTCGCTAGTCCCAGAAGTGTCCTTACTATCAATGGGCTTTCTTCTCCTACAAACAATCACTGGAACAAGATCATGATCCACAACTTTCACCTGAGAGGTAAATGGATTTTGTAGAGCGTTCCGGACATTACAATTCTTTGTGCATGAATGAACTTCAAATTCCCCATGTTTCTACCATTGTTGAAATGACGCAGTATTTCAGACAATGTAGCACCAGAATTGAAGGAAAAAACTTGTATTTACAACGACTAGATGGCGGATTCTGAATTCAGCAATTACCAAGTAGATATTCTTGTATTTCAACACGCTTGAGATAAAAGGGAAGTCCATCCGCAGGTTGGCCTATTGCTGTGTACATACTCCTCACGTGCTTTAGTATCTTGTCCACAAAAGACTGTTTTGAATTGATTCCAACAACCTCCATAAGATCTTTGATCTGCATGCAGGAACGAGTTGCAGTCTAAAAAATGGAATAGAAATGGCACACGCAGATTATAGAAACATAGAGAAAGCAAGTAAATAATTGAGAAGTATCTTATCCTCAACAGGATTTTTGAAATTAGCAGTAGACTAAGGCTGTTATCAGGCACATGAAACAGACGAATGCCTGGACGACTTTAATATACCAGAGAGCAACAAAAGCAATCCCCAAGGTAACCAAAAAGAAGCCAAACCTGATACAACAAATGTTTCGTTTCTTCAAATTCGCCCAAACTCAATCGCAGCTGTGCCGAGATGTCCAGCATGGCAACTTGCTCCATGTTTTTATACCCAGATTCCAGTTGGTCCACAACAACCTCATAATTGGCTTCAATCAATTCACGCGCAGTTTCTTCATCTCCTTCATCTATCAGCTTGAGTGCTTGCCCATAAAGCTCTTGTAGCTGTTCCTGCAACTCAGTGACTTCATTTGCGGGTCCAGGTATATCTCCAATACTCTTGGGATCCCTGTTTTAAAAGGACAAATTAACGGAGCATCAAGAATGAGTTTCTTCGACACACAAAGCTTAAACCGATACAATAACCTGAAAACCTGAAAACTACTCATTTCAACCGCATTAGATTGCTTTCTTCAGCATTTCCTGAAACAAGAACCTCAGTGATTTCAGCTCCAAATCATGCTCGTTGTTCTACACATGTTATCCACATGCTCAGGGCGGACAAACACCTCAAATGAAAGATAGAAAACTACCCCATTTTCTGAATGATTTTCTGTGTCATCTTAGTATCTTGCAATGCCATGGCAATGGCAAAACGGTTGAACTGTTCCTGAAGCACTCGGTCACCAGTTTCGTCTTCGTCATCGTCAACATCCACCTTAGTGTAGCCTACACTACTGGATTTTCCTACTGCTCCTCTGCAGCAACAACAAAAAATAAGTTCATAACATCAACGGAATCTGTGTACAGACGTAGCGGCAACCAAGAAGAAATCTTTTCAAATTATATCAAGTATTTATTCTTCTAGTAATTTGCAAGACCAGCTTAAAATGCATCTGTCATTTACATCACTTGCAGTATAAAGCTTTTGATATCTATCCAAATCTTTTTGCAATTATATCCTCTTCTCAGATTATTCTTACATGACCACAGACGGCAACCATGGGCTTTCGATAAATGGGCCACAGTCTTAGTTCTTTGCATTTCTTCGCTTCAGAGGTTTTGAATGCCTGTATTCTTACAAACATATTAATCAGTTTACTAATGCGGCCAGATCTTTTATCATTCCGAATGTTGACTCCCTGGGAACAACGGCAGAAAATCTAAAAAAATCTGAAAGAACAAGGCACGAAGAAGATGAGATGTGTGCATATTTACTAGAACTGACTCGCGAAATACTCAGTGGCTACGACCAAATGCAAAATTATAGTTGAACCATAATATGCAAATTTAGAAGTCATACCTGTTCCTTTTGCAACTGAAGCCCTCAAGCAAGACTGTAATGACACAAGATGGTGGCTGACGTGGTTCAGAGCTCCTCTTCACAAAACTCCACTTTGATGTGGATGAACGTTTTTCATAGCAGTGGTTGGAAAACTGCAAAGAACTTGAAGGAAAACCACTACTTGAACATCCTTGATGCCCACAGAAGGATGGAATTTGGATGGCTCTTCCGGACTCTGCCATCACCTGATTTCTCTGGATGTTAACTTTCCTCGAACCAACAACCTGGAATGACAAGGAGGTCATTGCCAAAGAAAGCAAATGGACAATTACCCGTGCGTTGACGTGGCCACACTTGTCGAATGTCAGAGATAAATCATGATCAGCAGCAAATTTGAACCCTTGGTCCGGCTTAATTAGTAATATTCTTGATTAACGTTAGATAATATTCTCTTTCCTCATATTCATAATCGCTTGACGAGCACAACTGTGTAGCATAAACCCTGAACCCTCAATGCAGGATGAAGCCTTCGGTGTTGAGGGACTGATAGTATGAAAAAAAATTCATAACTACACCACAATTGACCACTGTTCATACACCCAAAAGCTTTGAATCTCTACGGTTCCAATCGTCCTTGAGTTAACAGTCCTATCTGGTGTTCGCAATCAACCAAATACCACAATGCAATCTCAAAATCATCAGTAAGGTCTTTTTGATTTATATGGACAATGTTCTATAAGTCTATCTCACATCAAATCAAAGTTGTTCAAAACAATATGAAATTTCCTACGTTCTTTCAGAATGGGATTAATGGAATTACGAATTCAATGTGAGCAGCAAGAAATTTACGTCCACAACCTACACAGTAGCAGATTTTAGCGAGAAGGGCAATAACAGCAGATAGAGGCAGAAAAGGAGACTTCAAGCGCCTTGGCCATAGATTAGACATTGACCACCCCCTCATTCAGACGCTTTCCTTCTCTACCCTTGCCACCCGCGCCACCGCTTTACAGCATATGCAAAACACTTGCATTCCTGCCTGATCCCCAAACCTCTCCAATTCCACCACTAGAACAAAGAGCTTCCGATACACACAATCAGCTCAATACTCAACGTCTCCCCACCCTGCAAGGTTCTCGCACTAAACTCAAAGCATCTTCTCAATCCTTGAAATACTAAAATTCAAGCAATTCAATATTACAAGAGTAATGCGATGACTGTGAGGGGAGAGGATTGACACCCAAAAACTGGACCTTCGAACAGTACCCACTTGTTAAGCAATACGAACAAATGGCTTCATGGTCCTCTCAGTGAATCTGGAACCAAGCTGATGCATGTTGGCCTACTTCATCCACACTCAGCATGAATTTGGGTTGCGTGATTTTTGATGCTCAATACGGTGAGCTTCTTCAGCAAAGGAGGATCTTCTACAACTGCGTCACATTATATCGGCACTGGACTAGATAATGGAAAGAAATTATTGCTTCACTTAAAATAAAATTTCTGGTGGATGCCTCACAAGTATCACTTGAATCATCCAGCTCTTACATCGTTCTTCATTGATCCATTGAAATTGAATTGAACATTGTTTGTTTGTTTGTTTTGTTTTGTTTTGTTTTTTTTTGACACAAAACAGGGCATATTTAATGCTTAGATTATGTAGAGAGGAAATATAAATCAAGTCCTAATCCTTTTGCAAGCCTATAAAAGAGCAATTGAAAAACTTAAATAGATCATGTCTATTTTATACTAGTTTTTTAGTATATCATGCATAATAATGTCATTTTGCAGAATTTTTAAGTTCCATTTGATAGTTATGTTGGATCTAAACCCAATCATGTTTTTCGACATTTACATCCTATTCCACTTCTAGAGTAGTATCAACTTGTATTTGGAATTGGTTTCAATTTTTTTATGTGACTTTCTATAAAATTTTTCTATATTTAATGAAGGTAAAAAATCTAAGTACTTTTTCTACCATAAAAGTTAGATCATTTCTCAAATTCAAAAATGAACTTGTTTTTATTGAATCCATAATGTCCAAATACATTAATGACATAATAAAGATCGAATCGAAGAGAATCTCTTGGGACACAAATAAAAGTTGGATAAAAATAGTTTGTTTTTAATTAGATTTTTTCTAAGAGATCTATTCTTTAAGGTCTAAGGTTAAGTTATATATGAGTGAGGTTGTATAATCTTAGATACATATTACTTGAGCATATTTTTTAAATCAATATAAGATAATTTATTCTTTTTAGAAGAAACCATAAAAGATAATTAATATCAACATTCAAATTATAGTATTTTCTCTATATGCTTACAACTATACTTTTATACCATATAAATCAAACAAGTATAAATTTTTTATGTGTTTATGGTCTAAACTATATATCTATTAAGGACATAAACTTCAAAAAATTAAAATGTCAATACACTCTTGTGTCACTTAAAAAGACTAAAAAATCACCCTAAGATGATATAGTATTAAACTAGAATGGCTATTGCTAAAGACAAGAAGACTTAAAAAGTCTTGAAACAAGATTAAGGACTAAAAAGGCATTAACGAGAGTGAAGAAGGCCTCATTCTTGCCTCCATATATACTCTTAACTAGAAGCTACATGGCAATGTCTTACAGGACCTCCAAAAAGTGTTGATTTTGCAAGACATGTATCTTAACTTGCAAGGCAAGTTTTTTATATGTGTGCCACATAATTAGCTTGTTTTCCAAGCTACCAACATATAATTAACTTGTTGACCAAGTTTCTAACCTATTAATCAACTTCAAACACATGTAAAGTCAAAGCAATATCTATTAAGCTTTTATAGAAAATATCATGAAGTAAATTTATTTTTACCTACTTTTATGTAATCATATAGATAAATATTAGAATAAATATGTATTTCCATGATAATATCTTACTAATTAAAAATATATATATTATAATAAAAAAATTAATTTATTGCTATTTCAATTACTAAAATAAAATTAATTTTTAAATATCAAAGATCTGTCAATTTTTAATGTGTAGGTTAATAATTTTACTTTGATTAGCTAATGATATCTCATAAAATTAAAAATAAATTTATTCACAAGGCTATAGAAAAATTTAATGTTTTCATCTTAATAATATTTAAGTATAATTATTAAAAATAATTTGAAATTTTTTAAAAATTATTTTATTTGAAACTTTTGTTGATATAAGTCATGATATTCTTAAAAAAAAAAAAAAAAATCTTTGTTATAGTATAGTCTTCTTGATTGTGAGCCAATTTAATAGATTTGTTTTTTTATTCATTTTTTTGGAAAAAAACCATACATTGTACTATTTTGTTATATTAAATGAAAAATTCTAAGACAACCATAAGCAGAAAATGACTTTTAAGAATATATAAGCTTATCCAATTATAAATTTTAATAACTAAAAATCTCTTTCTCTATTAAATAAATCAAAGATCTTGAAAGGTCTTACTTTAACAGATGTAATAATATGTACCATTTGAGTCTAATTTGACTTTAAATTTGGCTTCTTCCATTTAAAAAAGTTAATGGGATTTATTAAACATATTTTTGTTCTTTGGAGGTTGTTGGAATGGAATGATGCAACATTAATTGAAGTAATTTAACCATATACAAGAAAAAATGTTAAATCCTATCAAAGAAATTTATTCTAAATTGAATAATAAAAATTTGGACTTTGTAAGCCAAATTTAAAATCAAATTAGACTCAAATGGTATCATAGATGTTTATATTTTACTATTTTGTTTTTAGTTTTTAGAACTAACACTCCATTTATGCTTTATACACAATATCCAATTAAAATCATGATACCATTTTTTAAAAGCTATCCATTTGTTTTATGCAATAATCTATAATACAAGAATTTTTAAATATTTCAATAGCTTGATGTAATAGATATTTGATCTATTTTGATAAAAGACCTTTAATTGCACCTTTTGGATCAATTCAACCTGATCTTATATTTATTTTTAGGTTTACAACAAATCAACTATATTACTTAAGAATAACTTAGCCTTTCAATTTTATTCCTTAAAAATCTCCAATCCATTGATTTAATTTTGCAAACCACTTTATAATATATACTTATATATATATATATATATATATATATAAGTATGTGATGTTATTTATAATAACAATTCTATCAATCATATTGAATTTTTTGAAATACTAGTAATTAATTTTGCATTTAAATTTTTTAATTAAGAACCAGTCAATATCTTAAAATTTATATTGATAGATCAAAAGATATATCTATAGGTTTACTTAGATTTTCAAAAAAAGCTTTTGTCCATTTAAATATTTTAGTATATAAATACATATAATTTATTTATATTATTAATATAATAAAAAATTTGACTAATTTATTTTTAAACTTAAAAATTAATTAAGTTCTTAAATAAATTAATTGATGATTATAAAATATTAATGCTTCTTAATGAATTAATTTTAATAACTTTCTATATTTATATATAAAGTATTTTTTTAATAATAATAAATAGATAATGAGCCATAAGATACCATTGCTTGATACTTCTTTTTGTCAAGGACCTAAACCACGAAAAAAATTCAAAAATAGAAATACACTCTTATATTATCAAAAGAAAGAAAATAGATAACTAAAAGATACATATAAAATTAAAAATAATATGAATATTTCCATATACAAAAAGACTAGGAGTTTTTAAATCAAAATAGAGTATTAAAAAGGTATTAACAAGTCAAGGATATAAATTACAAAATAATGAAAGTGTCAATACATTCTTGTAGCACTAGAAAAAAAAAATGTATATATATATATATATATTTATTTATTTATTTAAAAATAGTTATAAAATCAAAATTAAATTAACTTTTGCCAAATACGAAGAGATCAAAGATTCTTAAATAAAAAAAAGATCACAAGTAAGGAATTTACAAGAATACTAGATATTATCTTATTTATTTATTTTTACTTATTTCTATCCAATTCTTTTTATTTTAGTAATAATTAGTGTTAATATGTATGTTCATAACATGAAAAGAGTGAAGAAGACCTTATTCTTATCTCTATATATACAATCTATTATAGAACTATGTGGCAATGTCTCATAGGCTATATGACATGTAGATAAGAATGAAGAAGGTTTCATTCTTGCTTGATAAGGTGTTGATAAGAATGAAGAAGGTTTCATTCTTGCTTCTATATATACTATCTAACTAGGACCTACATAGCAATGTTCTATAAAACCTCCAACACGTGTTGACTTTGCAAGACATATCATAACTTGCAAGGCAAGTTTTTTTATATGCATGCCACATTGTTAGCTTGTTCTATAAGCTATCAATATGTATGACAAGTAGTTAATTTGTTGACTAAGTTTTTAACCTATCAATCAACTACAAATACATATAAAGTCAAAACAAAATCTATGAAGCTTCCTAGAAGCTTTTCTAGAAGATATTATGAAATTAATCTACTTCTACCTATTTCTATCTAATCATATAGGTAATTATTGGAATAAATACATATGTCAATGATATGTATTTCTTGTCTATCAATTTCAGGATGAAAAGTTTAAAATAACTAGATATCAACATATAACATGTTAAAAAGTGTTTTCTAAAAGCTTGATATGAATTGAGGCCTACAATTAGATATAATGTTACTTGGAAGTCTATGATATCCATAAATATTATCTAAGAAGAATTTAGATATTTTTTTACTAGTAATGTTTTTAAAAATGAAACAAAATATATCATTTTATTAATTTTAAATCCACGTGTACAAAGATAGAATTATAAGAATTTGAAATTGAAAGATCTACGATGAAATTAATTAAAACAAATGACTTTGACTACTTTAAAATAAGTAGGGATTAAAGAAGTTTATAAGATTAATAATATGAAGTCTTTGTTTTAGAATAAATATTGCATGATTGAACAAATTATTTATTTCTTTCTATATTTGAGACAAGAAAAAATCTCTTTAAATAAGTTTTAATATTTTATTATATCTAAAGTAATTTATTGTTAGAAAATCATATTGTACTTACAATATACATTATTCTATTTTATCTTTGGATACATATAAATATTTTTTATTATAAAAGAGGTTGTCCTTAAATTCAATTTTTTTGGAATTATTATGAAGATTATTTTTAATATCTAGAACAAGAGGGTTTATTAACATGCTTAAACAAACTTCATCAAAGTAGTATCAACTAGAATTATTGATTTAATGACCTAAAAGTGTAATTGCTCCAATTTCAAAAGAATATTTTTTTTATTTTTTATTTCTTATTTTTTAATCATAGATTCTATCTCCTTTTTTTAATAGGAGGTAAGAATATCTAAATAATGCATATAACAAGCCTTGTTATTTTCTAAAACAATATGTGATATTAAATACAAATCATAACAAAGACATGCTCTAATAAACTTATTAATGATGTAATATATGTATTGATATCATATATTCAAAATTCTTATGATCAATATAAATTATAATGAGATGAGGAGCTTTTATTGGGTAGTGAAGCCATTCTTAGAATGAATTTGTAATAATAAGACATTCTTAGTCCTAGATCTCATAATTAATCTTTCATGTTGAGATTTTTTTTTTAAAATGAAAAGCAACATAATAAAACCTATCATCTACGTCTATTTGTGATAAAATTGCATGGAATGCAAAGTCTGATGCATTTGTTTCTATAAAAAAATAGCTTTAAAAAATTTGTATAACATTAAATAAAAGTTGAGATAAAAGACATTTTAAAACTTTAAAATATTGATTTTGCATCTTTATTCCTTTCTAATTTCTCTTTGGAGATTAATTGAGTAAACGTAGCAACAATATAAATACATAATCATAATATTCAATCTTAAAAACATTAGACATCATCTATAGTTCTTGGTATTTTCTAATCTATAATAGTCTGCATCTTTTTAGAATCTATTTGCTAATTTGAAATAATATATTTCAAAAATTATATTTGAGTTATATGAAAGATTCATTTTTTTATCTTGATGTATAATCCTACATCTCTAAATTTTTGTAGTAAAAATATTTTTCATGTTTCTCCATATTCTTACAATAGATAAGAATCACAATTATACATCCTTCTCACATATCAATGATGTAGTATCTATATAAAACACATGTAAGCAGTCTACTGATGCACCAATTTGCAATGGCTGTTTAAATAATAGTTTGTATTCTACCTTCTCAAACTTACATCTATTGCATGGTAATTAAACAAATTGTTTCTTAATGAGTAAATAAATTATCAAATAAATCAATTGATAGCAGGCGAAGTAAACACTAACTTAAGAAAATCAACATTATGTTTCTAAACCTGATGGAGCTGGAGGTAGATGTTCAAACAGTATACGTATTCTCATAGTTCATCAAGTGCATATTACCTACAGTAGAGGGAGTGAAATCGATTGGCAATCCCCAATCTGACACATTAGACCCCTTCCACTGCACAAATACCTCCTGCATCCAGATATCCTTAACATACTCCATAAACAAACCTGACATTCGATGAGTCACCAGACCTTGACATCCAGGTCGGTAGTCGTGATAACCTCCTGTAAAATTTGTCGACCTTGCAAGCGTCATTTTGACGTTCCTGAAATGTAATCCCTTCAAAAAACTTTCTTCCAATCCTGATAGAAAAATGCCATTCTCTGAGGTGGTCGTGATATTCATATAGTGCACGTTGTTGACAGAGCCCAACACAGTGTCTGGCGTCCGAGGGCATGCAGATACGTAAATAGGCTCTGCGAGACCCCACCATGAAGGGTGATAGTAACGTGTGCTCATCTGGATGTTGGCATAAGTGACATTGTTGATATTGCCTATTCAGAAGCAACACAAACATTTAGATATACAAAAGCACTATGACATCAAGTTAAATCCGTGAAAGCTTTGCAAATAAGTGGCCTTTGAGTAGGAAATGTAGTACCTGAGTCTCGGAGTTGAATCCCTAGCCCTCTGTGTGAATCCACTATCACAAGCTGCTCGAAGTGTAGATTACCAAGATTGAAATTGGTCATACTACCCAACTTCACGGCACATGATTTGGTTCGGATCCAGCAATTAGTCACTGTCAAATTGTAAAGAGGACCAAGCTCTGATTTAGAGCATATGGCATCATCACCAGTGTCGATATGGCAATCCTTGATCACTGTGTTATTAGAAGAGTCGATGTCAATGCCATCCGTATTCGGGGAATTGAAATCGCCATGCATGGACACATCGTGTATCGAAATAATGTTTGATTTCACAATATGCAAGCTGCAATTGAGTTCCAACAGACGTAGAATCTAATGAGCGAGATGGTACTTTAGAATTACTTAGTGCTAATTCTAGTTTTGTACCAAAGATTGTGCTACATTCAGATAGTCCAGAAAATGAAGTATTGTGAAGATCGTTTAAGATTAGGTCAATAAGGTATACCACCAATATGCTGGTTCGCGGAGAAATACATTCCAAATGTGCACATTCTTGCAGTTAATAAAGCCCACTAAGCGCGGCCGGCACTCGTCCCCGACACAATCACCCGTCACATTCCAGCTCACCATGATATTCTTCTCCTCCTTGAATTCCACAACAAACTTCAACCCCTGCCCTGTTACGATGCCACCGCCTGTGAGCTCTACATTCTCGGCATCTTCGGCCAGAATGGTGTACCATCTTGTCCAGTGAGCGAGAAAATCTTCCTGCCGTGCGCTGCCCACAATTGTTGCCCCTTTGTCCACCCATAACGTGATGTTACTCTTCAAGTAGAGTGTGCCCGTCAGGTTCTCCCCCGGAGAAACGTACACTACTCCCCCACCCTGGTTGGCGCAATAATCAATACTAGACTGTATGGCGCTGGTATCATAAACCTCGCCATTTCCCGTGGCGCCGAAGTCCGACACTCTGCACACAAACCGGCCATCCTCGAATTCCGCCTTCAAAGCCTGGAAGCTGGGCCGAATTTCGAAAGGGAGTGATGCCGCCAGGGAGAAACTATTCTTCATCAGAATTCCAACAAAAAGTGTAATCAAAAGTCGGAACACAAGCTTGCACGATTTCCTTCCATCAAGACTCCCCATCCTGCTCACAACTGATGACAGACCCAATTTCAAGCCCATCTCAAAAACACAATCTTACACCCAAAACATACATCGAAATCCAAACCCTTGCAACGCTTGATTCATTCCGTCTTCGACTTCATCAAACCTTCCAACCACACAAATCACACCATTCGCTAGTATCCGCAGCATCTAAGAAACCACACTGATGAATTCTCCAAGGAAATGGAGGTGAGGTATTATCCATGGAGACGGCAACCATGAGCATTGTCGAGGGTATTGCAAGGCATCGGGCAGTAAAACCCACGAGAAACCATGCCAATTGTCTGAAAATAAATCTTTCACAAGAATAATTCTGCAAGCTACGACGCAACTGACGATGAGTGGATCCAAAAAAATCAGCGATCGGGTCGAGAAAGTGGTAATCAGTTCAACATTTCATGCTTAAAAAATGGCAATCATGACGAGTTCAGGATCACGAAGATTGAGCTTAGCAGCTGCACCTGCGGCTGCTGAAGTCGAGGAAGCTCTGGCTTAATGGATGGATGATGAGGATGTAAACATTTAGGATGGATGATCGTTAACCAACTCCGAAGCTCCCACACCCTCATTCTAAGTTTCTTAGAATTTTAAAACAATTGAGCTGCAGGATAACTCTTTGTTCTGGTTCATGAAGAAAGATTTCAGTCCAAGAAACGAATACCTGAAGTAAAAACGAGTGGGTCGCAAGATGATGATACATTAAAACTAAACTAAACTAAAAAGAGTTTACTTTGGAAATTAATTATCCATTGATTATCTTACTTCTTTTTTATGATAATTGATGAAACTAAATCATAGTGTATTTATCTATTTTATAGGTATATACATGTGTATATATATGTAGCTTTTGTATAGCTTATGTTAGATATAGGTACTATAAAACACATTAGATCTATTCTGTACTTTGTTTTTTCTGTTTAAAATCTACTATAAGATTTAGAAAAAAAATTGGTTGATTGTGGTTGATTTTTTTTTAATAAAGTTATGGTAAATACTTTAGTTCTAATTTAATGGCAAGAAGAAAAATTATTAAAATTATTTTTCAATAATACTTTAGAAATTCTAAGATACTTACTAAACTTAAAGTATCAACAAAGAATTTTTGTAGTAACTAAATTTATTATTTTTTAATTTCAATACTACAATAACATATATGTAAGAAAGTATCTAAGTTTAACATATTTCTTAGAAGTTTAATTTTTAGAAATTTTCTTTGTAAATATGTGTATAGAATTATATGTATATATATATATATATATATATATATACACACACACACACACACATATATATATATATATACACACACACACATATATATATATATATATATATATATTGTAAATATGTGTATAGAATTATGGGAATGGGTGTTTTTATTTACAGCAATGAATGTGATTATCATATTAAAAAAAAAAAAAAAAAAATCTTTTATTGTAATTATAAAATTTATTTCCATACAAACATTTTTCCATTTTACAAATTTTCCATTTCCATCCCTTCTCTTGATTATATATATTCACACACATACACCCGTTGCAGATTGTGCTTTATCAAGGTCTTCCAAGTTTAGCTCCCATCACTGCTACATCACATCCCTCAGTGCATCAGCTTTGTGGAGATCAAGGCCTTCTGGTGAATCAATTGGGTTCCACATCAAACTGTAAGCGATTTTGTGCACTGGCAGCAACTAAGCTATGATCCAAAGCAGGGGCTAAATCTGAAAGCTGAGCCTGTCCTTACGAAGCATGAAGCAAAAACTGAGGTTTAAAGCATCCATCGTCCAGCACAGACAACTTGCACAACATGACATTAACTGCAGCAGGAGCAGCAGCAGCAACTAGTATTATCACCTGCTCAAATCTCATTGCAGCATACACGGTCACAGCTCAACGGCTGTCCCCAAACATTGCATGGAAAGCTCCAAGAGCGTGGACGTTTCTACTACCAAATTCTCTTTTGGATTGAGCGCCTCTACTGTCACTGTACAACAATCGATGATGTCACATAGTTTAGGCTCAAACCCACAAGAAGAAGTGTTAACCGTCTCTTCATTGTTTGTATAATGGTTCTGTTGGCAATACTAGTGGTCTTCTAATTATCCTTCGCAGCTCCTGCATTTGCCTTTAACTCGAACAATTCGCTTGAACAAAAAACTTGAAGCCCCTCATTGAAGAAGAGGGGTGACGAATGAAAAGCTATTTTTTTTTACCAAACAGGAAGATGAAGAAATAAATTTTTGAGTGTTCGATTTAATAACTGCAATACAATGTGCCTGCTTTCCAAATAGAATTATAAAAGTGTACGAGGAACAGATTAGTATGAGTTAGTTTAGGTTGTGTTTGAGAATAATCTCTACTGAAGTACTACCCGGCCGTTTCACGCATAGTCTACACAGTAGCAGCAAAAGCATGGATCTATTCTTGGTGGGAATACTGTAATGTGCTGAAAAATCTCGCGTGCAATGTACATGCGAGTGCCAACTAAGAGGACATTGTGCCTGGATTCGAGGACCTGCACAGCTTGTATTGTTGAGTTTTGGTGGTAGTAGTTTACTTCTACGGATCCAGTATTCCTCATCTGACTCATCTCCAGTTATCAATTGGGTTTCTCCAAGATTGGAACAATAAGCTTGTGCTCACAAGCTTATTTAGTTTTTTACTCAAGGTTCCCCGAAGCCTTTTGTGAATTTTCTTTCTGCAACCATAATGAATCCAAGCTGCTTAGGAGCAAATCAATCTGAAAAGCATCTATTCTGTGCTCCTTTCTTGGAATGCGCGGACATTAAGACGGAAAGTTGATGCAATATTAAGGGTGATTGTTTGAGGAAACCGGCGGTTCAAGTCTTCAATACTTGAATATTTGCTGTCACAGATCTTCTGGATGGATATGTCATATTGTGACGATTCCGGAAAATCTTAATGAGAATGAAAGGAGAGTTCTTCACGCAACATATTTGTTACATATGTGGATACAGTTGATCAGAGGAAATTCTTAGCGAAGTACAAGAATTGTACTGGACTTGTTGGGTGTGCTGCTGCGTAACAAATTTTTACATCAATATTCGAAACAGAAAAGCAACTGAACGGTTGTGAAATAAGGCGAAGACACTGGATATTTGCAATATGGATTAGAGATTTCCACCAAACGGCGCATCTCGGATCGCAACTTAAAACTTGGCAGTCAGGATGATCAATCCTTCTAAATTTATTAGATTATGAATTCGTAGTGAATCTCTCTTGGCCAGCTCAGGTTGTATTCGATGACATATGAACTACCAGTGAAACAGAATCAGACACAGACCGGGGTGATTAACATAGAAAGTGTCCTCTTTTTTAGAATGATACTTCTTCGGGGCCTCTGCAAACTTCTCAGCTTTCTCCATATACGCCGTCACATCTGTGCTTTATTGCTCACAAACATCTACTTCCACTTCCAATCAACTCCAGCGCAATACTTCATAGGGCCCTTCTCAATACAACGTAAATACTGCGCAACCTGTACCCTTCTACAGGCTATACCCGTGACAATAAGCTGGAAGTCTGGAAGAAGCTTTCTATGTTGCATGGATACATTTCACCTCCTAGTCAATCGCATCTTGGAGTGATTAGGGGGTTGTGTAGTGTCAGCGTCGAAGGGTGGACCAGAGACATGTGGAAGTTGAAAAAGCTGTGAATTGCGAGAATGATCAAGAGTGTAGATTGAAATTTTTCGAGTTTGTGGAAATGTCCGAGAGTTTTTTTCACAGCGCGGTTCAGTGAGACGATGGCGCTCTCGACTGCAGGTTCTACCGCAATTGATCGACATGCTTCTGTATCAAGTTTGATGTTGTCCGAGAACTGATTCAATTTAGTAAAAGCCTGAGTATTAGAGGCTTCGATTCCGTTAGCGATTACCATTAAGCGAAGATTATCTAGGACTGCAGTAGTCTTACAGTGGTCGAGGCCGCGCCAGTTTGAGTGTAACGAAAGCTGAATCTTCAAGACCTTGATTAGACGTCGAATCGACAGTTAATTCTCATTGCCCCTCCATTTGTTGACCTGGTTGTTGCTTTTCATGTCATGGACTGAAAAGCTTGTCAAACGACCATTCGTGCGTCAAAAGAGCAGTATAATTTGGACATGAAATAGACATGATACTGGTTTGCATGGTGAGGCGTTGCAGATCATGGAATCCTTAGTTTACTCTCGAATCCGTAGGTAACCGCAAGTGCTTGGATTTCACTGTGAGGAAGCTTTTTTGAGCAGGTTACTTCATTTCGATGCAACATCGCACGGTACGTAGTTAAGCATATCGTAGCGTTAAGGACCCAAATCGCATCAGGCCGCAATGGATTTCATTTGCTTTGTTAAAACCATTTCTTAGGCCGATGATTGAGATCGATGTAAGGCCGCAACTCTATATCTTCTGAGCCAATCTCAGTTTAAATTCTGAACAGACGATCCACAATTTCTCGTTTGAATCATCCTGGTTTACTCAATAGACTGCAACGAAGTTCTTTTCAATGACCTCAAACCAAACAAGTGATGTTTCGGTAACGTCGAGGGGGGTGTTGGCAGGAGATGATCCCTTACACCATGCTCTATTGCTCCTAATCATTCAGGTCATAATTATAATATGTCTAACTCGGTTTCTGGCGCTCCTGCTGCGCCCCCTCAAGCAACCTCGTGTTGTAGCTGGTAAGCCCTCTCAGTGTACTTACCATCTTGTTGGATTGATGCTCCACAAACCTGCATTCAATGTATTATTGTGGAGGTGTCGCGACCTCTCTACTTCTAGCAGAAGGATGTTGTAAAGCGAATTTTAAACCATTCATGGGATTAAATGAAATGGATGTATCTTGTGTGTTAGCGAGTGTGAAATAGAGAGATGGCCCAAAGTCACTGTGAAAGTCTTGGCCAAAATCCATAATGAGTTGTCTGTGTCTCCTCTTGCAGAAATTCTGGGAGGAATAATATTAGGGCCGACTGGCTTCGGAAGCATCCCAGGCATCACAGACACCATATTCCCTGAAAGCTCTTTGACTGTGCTGGATACTGCCGCAAATGTGGGCCTCATCTTCTTTCTCTTCCTTGTGGGATTGGAATTGAACATCAAAACAATTGTCAAGTATGGAAGAGATCCTATCCCCATCTGGACCCAATTACTTCAGTTCAAAATTGTCAATACTGTGTGGGCATGTGATGATTACCCACATAAAAGAGGCCAGAATTTGATGAATTGTGATGTGAAGTAAAGGAACTTCGTGATTGATGTAGGAGTATCAAATAATAACGTGGCTTTGTTTTCTGCAGATCGGGAGTAATTTCACTATGGATGGCAGCAGCAGGCATAATCTTTCCGTTTGGCCTTGGGTCAATAGTTGCCTGCCTCATAAGCAAACTCCTCCCACAGATGGATTCGCATCACAGTTTCGGAGTCTTCACCATGTTTCTTGGCGTGGCACTGTCCATTACGGCTTTTCCCGTTCTCGCTCGTATCCTCGCAGAGCGCAAACTTCTCAACACTGAGGTACGACTATTTCAAGCCATACTTCTTTTGACCTTGTGACCTTATTTGGATGCAATCAACATTTATATCTGTGGTCTAGATTATGAAGCTATCGATTGTAATACATATTACTAGTCAGAAGTTAACGGTCGTGAAACTGGCAATCAGATTCTAGAATTTTGTAACCTTCGAATATTTGCAGATTGGCCAAATGGCGATGTCTGCAGCAGCAATAAATGACATCGTGGCTTGGATCCTTCTGGCTCTGGCATTGGCCCTCACAAACTCAGGATCGACTCCAGTAGTCGCAATATGGGTGCTTCTTCTGGGTGTAGCCTTTTCTGCCTTCATGTTTGTTGTTGTTTCACCCGTCATGTACGCTCTGGCCAACTATAGGGAGCTGCCACCGGAACCTGTGGTCGCAATGACTCTTGTGATTGTTCTTGGATCAGCGTTTTTCTCCGACTTGATTGGCATTCATGTCATTTTTGGAGCCTTTATCTGTGGCCTCATTGTTCCCAAGGATGGCTCATTCGCAGGCACTTTAACCTGCTTAAACCCCTACATTTTGCGGACAGAATTTTAGGAAGTTGTGTACTCACTAGTGTCTTGTGCAAGTTTTCCATCATCTCTTTACAGACTAATATTACTGCAAACCTTCGAAAAAATCAGAGTAGATTCATTTTCTCCATGAATAAACATGACTTAATTACGACACAACAACAACGATATGCGATTTTTTTTACTGTGTGCAGCGACGATGATAGAGAAGGTTGAAGACTATGTGAGTGTCCTCTTCTTGCCACTGTACTTCGCAATATCTGGACTAAAGACACACCTTTCCGAAGTCAATAATGGAACTGCAGGTGTAAATTCTTGCAGAAAGACCATCATTTGCATTGTATGAGTTGACCATCCATATTTGGCGATGAAAACTTGAAGAGATTGTCTGATTGATATTTATGCACGTGAAATCACCACAACGTTCACCTGGTTAGGTGTGCTTAATGTTATCTACGATTCAGTGACGGTCTGCCTAATGTCTCATTTTCATTACGCAGTGTTGATTCTCTTCATGGTGATAGCAACGGCATGCATCGGTAAAGTGATGGGGACGTTAATTGTGGCCAAGATTTGGGGTGTGGAGAACAGCAAGGCTTTGGCCCTTGGATTTCTCATGAACACCAAAGGTCTTGTTGAACTGATAGTCCTCAACATTGGACTCTCTAAACGGGTGTGATCTTGATGACCCCACTTGGACTACACTAATTGTCATGTTTTAAAGCTTTTAGTTCACCTCAGCTATGAACGGTGTCAACCACGCTATCAGATAAGCAAAAACTATTGGAACTGACGTTCTGTGTTCCACGACATCTGCAGGTCATTAATCAAGAATTGTTCGCGATTATGGTAGTTATGGCCCTGGTGACTACTTTCATCACAACTCCTGTGGTTATGTGGCTTTACACACCAGCACGTGATATACCACCTTACAAAAGGCGGAGCATCGGTTCTGATGACGATAAGGATGAACTGCGTATGCTCCTCTGTCCTGTCGGAGAGTGGAACATACCTGGCATGGTGAACATAATTGAAATTACAAGAGGAAAACATCACAAGTCTCTGCGAGCGTATGTGCTTCACCTGATAGAATGTTCGGAAAGATTGTCCTCCATCAGAATGTCCACCTTTTCAAGGCGAAATAGCAGAGACAACTTCATGAATGAGGTGACACTTCAATCTAAGTTAAACCTTCCTTAGAAACTGGCAGTAATTTGTGATGGAAAACCCTATGGATAATGGGCAGATATTCAGATCACGAAGTAAACTAAACTGTGATGATCAATGGTGCAAAGTATAGCATCATGCTCTACACAAGAAAGAAACTCGTGCATTCAACCTTAGGCTTGTCGCAATTACAAATTTATACGTTCTGCAGGAACATGGGAACACCGAAGTGGAGATGGTTGAAGTTGCATTTCAATCTTATGGAAAGCTTGGCAGAGTGCAAGTCAAGACTGCAGTCGCCGTCAGTGCTTTCCGCAACATGCACGTAGATGTTTGTAACATTGCATGCTCTAATCGGGTCAATTTTCTGCTACTGCCGCTTCACATGCGTCGAAGTCACGATGGAAATTTTGGGACTATGTTTCCAGAGCTCAAGAAATTGAACATGAAAATATTGCGGGACGCTCCTTGTTCGGTGGGGCTGCTGGTTGATAATGGGTTGGGTGGACCAACAGCCACTCCACCCACCAATTATTCTCAGCACATATATGTGCTTTTCTTCGGGGGCCCCGATGATCGAGAAGCTCTGATGCTGGCACGCCGCATGTTGCAGCATGGTGGAATCAAACTCACAGTCATCCAAATTGTGATTCAAGGTCTTGTGCACCATCACTTGGGACGCATCCGAAGAATCTCAAGCCGTATGTTGAGGTCTCATTTGCCTAAAAAACCTCCTGCCTGGAGAAGATGGGAGGCTTGGAATTGGTTGGTTTGTGAAGTTGTGAACTTTTTCAAAGCACCGTGGGTGAAGCCCAAGAAGTGTGTGAAGCCCAACCAGAACAGTGAAGCTGAGAAAACTTGCCTCACAACGGATTCGACCGGGGATACAAACGTCGCAGACGCAATTATGAGAAATTCGAATGGAGAAATTCACGTCGTCATGAAAGACATCTTGTCGGAAAGCGAGAGAATTAAGGACATGCAAGCCCTAGCTCCCATTCTGGCAACTGCAACCAAAGCTAACCAAGAAGAGGTAGGCGATACTGGAGATCGCAACGGTGAATCCTTACAAAGTAACCGAAGCTTGCACACAACCAACCCAGGTCTTCAGTCAGAAATTGCTTGCAGGAACCTGACGTTAAGGGTTATCGAGACGCAGAAGCTGGAGGAATCAATACTTAGCGTAGTGAACTCCGCAGAATCGAATGGGTTAATAATCACTGGGATGCATTTGCATGAAAATAGTCCAGTTCTGCAGTCATATGCCTTTCCTATGATTGAGGACCATGGTCTGGGACTTGTCGGGAATTTTTTGGTGTCCAACAAGCACCCTCACATGGAAGCATCTCTGCTAGTTGTCAAACACTATGGTCCTTCCCAAGACACGGTGTTGACATCGTCTATCCCTGCCGACTCAAGCGCAAACTTGCTCTCTGTTGCAAATGTTGAGGTGGGTTCTTCCACTTTCACTGGTCCAAGTGATATTAATGACTCCGGGTCTAGTCAAAATAAACTCGGTTAGTTTAGCGAAGGCTTATACTTAAGCTCAACGGAAATCGGTGTACTTAGGGTTCTACACAATCTAGTGAGCCTCTATCTCTTCGCCACAACTGTACTTTTTCACAACATTAATAATCTTGTACAGTACATCTTCTGGAGATATTCAGAGATACTAAGCTGCAAGACATTCAATGACTTGAAGTTCTAATTCTTCCTTGCTCCATGACAAAAGCATGACTACCCATTGTGCGAATTCATTTTGAATATAATTTGGAGTCTACCAAGTTACTCAAATATCTAAATAGACTCTTACACATTAAGAAAAAAAAAAAAAAAAAAAAAAAAACAAGCCGACTTCTAAATCAATAAAGAGAATGACTACAATTATAAATTTTTGACAAACATAATCATTAAATTTGAATCTAAAACAAAAACACAATCATGTGTAGGTTCCAGTTAATACCACCATTGTAACAAACAAGACAAAATTTAATCACCAAAAGCATTGCCTGCTGCCCAGTTCCGCCTAAATCATCCTATTCTCTTAAGCATCCTTATCTCTTAATCTACACAATCAAAGATGTCCACAACGTAGACTTTCCTATACACCTCACAAAATCAACCAAGGCAAACATAATCTGCTCATCACATGTAAAGAAACAGTGATGCAAGCCTAGCGCAAATTTTTAAGTAACAAGTTAGTCCAAAGCTCCACCAGATTTTTCTGGAACCGTGTCAATATTGTTGTTGGCTTTTCGGAAGCGGTTCCGGAAAGCCAACAAGGGTGAGAATTGAAATCAGGTGGACGCAGCGATGTAGCTGTGATAAGCATGAATATGTTACCATGTGGTTTCTAAATATTCTACATCATTAGTTCACCACTAAAGATAAAGTAATCGCTAGTAAGTCCCAGTCGTGATTCCAATTAGAAGAGTACCAATAGGCATTTTTGAAGGGTTTCATATTCATACCTATCTTCACATCCACCCACGCTGTGAATAAATCAGTCAAATAGATGCTAATTTCAGATAGGATAGAACACTATGAATGTAGTCATTTATGCTATAATTACGTTTATGTTTCCATTTTTCAAGTCCACAAATTCGTCTCCTCTTCCAACAAATTCGAGACTCGCGATTGAGCTCCAAGTGATCTGAATTGAATACAAAAATGTAAAACTGGTGATCCACAACGACATGGTTGAATATAACGCACTCGTTCTGAACATCCACATATTGTTACAAATATGGAATACTAAACTCAACCCCCCTTAATTAGCAGGCTCACTAAAGTATAAGTAGGAGAGCTCAGTGCCCTGGACTAAGAGTTGATAAAAAAACTACCATGCTGAATGAAGAATCCAGACAGAGAACATACTTTGCACAAGGAAGCGATGAAGAATTCTCCGGGAGTTTTTCGGAAGCCTCACTAATCAGTGAAATCCGTACTATAGCGGCGCATAGTGACCCATTTTCTTGATTTTAATGGAAGCATAGTCTTTAGAGGTACTTTAATATCAGTCTCACTTTCGTCGGAATCCTTCGGCGCTAGGGCAGGCACAACATCGGTCTTTGCAGTACGAGATTTTTGCCGCTTTTTCACTTGGAGTCCTAATACCCGTGCAACCTCTCGAAGCCCTCCCCATTTTTCCAATGACCGTGCCAGGTCATACCGTCCTGCACCGCACACAACCCAAAAATAAAAACGCTATAATCCTATATTCCGTAAATCATACCGTGTTGGCTGGGCAAAAAAACCTGTGGGTAACATAAATGCTGACCTGCTCTTTCTAATGACTGTCGGGTTGGCATGGTCGTCCTATCATTTCCATGTTCTTTTTGGAACAGTAGAATCTGAGACCCAAAAAACCGAAGCCCAAGCAAAAGTCAATTAAGATCTTGCAAATCACCTAAACCTCGTTCTGCTAACAAATTATCTTATCAGCTGAAAAGACACTATATCAAAATAACCTTTCTAATAAACAAGACTATTTGAAGATAATCAAAGAAGATCTAATAAATAACAAGAGAGTCATACCTCTTTGTGGACATTCTGCAAATTGTCCCAGTAGCCTCTAGGCTTCCGCTCCTTATATGCCAATGAGAGGTTCAATTTGGAAGCTACAGGACCAAAGCCTCCATTACGAGTTATGGCCTTCTCCAAGTCCACTCGCCCAGCTTCCCTCAACTCACATCTCAAAGGCATCACACCCTTGGTGCCCTGCGCAGGAAACAATTGTTGCAACATAAACTTAAATTGTTACCACTTCCACAATTTCATACGGAAAACCTCAAAAAGCAACACTTCAGTGCTTGTAGAAGACAGTCAACGCGCATTAACAAGTAACAACAACAATTTCCAAGGAGAAACTACACCTTTTCAGCAATAAATTTTAAAAGCTCTTGTTGAAGAATGTTAAAATCACGCTGGAGGCCAGCGACCAGAGGCCTTTGTCGGATCCGTGGAGAAGGTTTGAGATCACTTTTGACCACATGCTTGTCATCGTCCTTACCAACGTCTTTAAGTGAATCTGGAATTACGAAAGATTCTTTCGGGACAAGAAATTCTTGCTTCTTGATGTTTTCAAGCTTCTCAACAACTTCATTTCTACTGTCCAGTAAACTATTGGACCCAAGAAGTTCAACCCGATCTCGAATAGCACATAAATTTGCGGGTAAATCTTCATATATGACCTGAATATGTTCGCAAGAAAATGCATCAGCAAATAGACATAGAACTCAAATAAGCATTTGCTAGGTCTGATGAAGTGATTGATAATATACCTCCTCAACAAGAGCCTCAGCAAGCAAAGAATCTTTGTGCATCTTGGTGTCAACTAGATACTTGAGCAAAGTATGCTGTGCTCCCAAAGGCTCTAGGGTCCATTTCCCTTGGAAACTGTCAAAATCCCCTTCGACTTGTTGAAACAAAATCTCATACTGAGGTCTTTCCCAGAGATCTAATATAACTCGAGCATGTAAAACCATATACAAAAGACACTTGCAGCCCTCCTGCAACACAGCATTGCAGTTTCAGTTCCAACAGAACTCTAACTCCGACAATACCCAAAAAGCAAATAGAAGTGGCTAATATGCTCATCCACTAAGGCATTTCACCAAGAGATTCATCCCGTAAAGCTAAGAACTAATGGAAGTTCAAAGCACTACTGTGATCCAGTATTGCTGATTTACATGCCAAATAATAGCAGCTGTACATCACTGGTGCAGTACCTGTAGCAAACGAACTTTGTTTTTCTCCCGAGTCAATACCTTGCAAATTGCTAGGTTGGGTATGAACCTGATCAGATGAAAAAAACCACACATACACCCAGCAACTTGAATCCTCTAGATAGCTCAACTCTCCATCAAAATTAGATGGAGGGGATTGTAAAATATGTGTAAAATTTGAGACAAATTAAAGATCTTCAGGCATGATTTTACTAATTTAGCTATTACTGTAACTCTTGATCATGGTGAGAAGTGTTGCTAGGTCCTACACAAAACCTCAAAACTTAGTCAAAATCATAATTTCACGAGTTCTCAAAACTAGTGTTGGAAATCAGAGCTTAGCCATCAAATTGAACTTATGATACGTCTCATATGAATGGCCACGATGTAGAGTGAAAGGTTACAGACATAGAGAACAGAAACCTACTCTTGAAGACTCTCGTACGCAGTAAGAACAGCCCACACGCTATGAGCTGGCGCCTCGACTGTGATAGCTGCTACTACCCGCCTGTGTACTCCTCCATTCTCCTGCAGAACAAGTTTTTAGCTGAACTATGTTATCTGCTATATTTTGAAGAAAGAAATCCTAAAAATAAAAACAAAAATAAACTAGGGACAGGAGAGAGAGGAGGAAGAGGACAGGCGCGCGCGCCCTTGTAAGGCGAAGATTACAAGAATGCTCCGATCTTCCTCGTCGTCTGACAAAATTCTAAACGTGTGCAGCAAAATATATGGAAGTGTATGTATTTCTTCGTATACTTCGATCGAAAAGTTGAGGCGTAATTTATGCTAACAATGAAAAATCAACATGAATTACATGGCAGCCTCCTTGAAATCCATTTCTGGAACCCGGACAGCCACGTGATATCAAAGATCAAAGACCTTTCATAATTAATACCAACAATTCTGATTTCCCTCTGGTTCAAGAAACACGTGCTCTGCCAAAACTTACCAACAAGTCATCGAAACGCCTCAAGTGGACTTCATCTACAGCACATGGCTTTCCAACTTTACAAGTTGATCCAATAGCTCCCCACGAGGAGTCTTTACTAATCAGCCTCGACCTCTCATTCCATTCCACAGGAGCAGACGACCCTCCACTCAAATTCATTGGCTCCGCTAGAACGGGTTTCAGGGCGGTTTTAACAGCAGACCCAGCCGTGCTATACTCTCTTGTCTTTGTACTGCTTCTTTCAATTTTCTGAAACAAGCGTGGAGAGACAACATCCTTTGTCTGCACAGCTGCCACTCGTGAAACATTCGAGCAGTCTTCTGCTCGCGCAGCTATAGCCCGTAAATTGGTGGGGAGGTCGGACTTGATAATCTTCTCAACAAAGGCCGCCGGGAACAGCAGTCTAGGTGTCACGTTCACTTCATAATGTAATATAATTGTACCTGGACTGAAATTGAACCATCCATCAACACTTTGATGCATGCTGCTTATTATAGAATACGCGACATAGCTGAAAGTAAATTAAATACGACAATCACATACCGAACATCAGGACGAAGATACCACCGTCCTACATAGCGCTTGAAATCACCATCTACCATAGAAAATCGTAGTTCTCTACCATCCTTCTGCAAACAACACAGCTTAAATGGTTAGAAAGAACCATGGCAGCCTTTCAATGGTAGCAAACCTAGTATGCGTTCTATTCTTTGGGTAAGTGCTCTTTGAACATTTTGCAAACCCCAATGGGAAGAATAAGACGTTAGTGCACTGTTTTAAAATTCCTTCGAGGAATTGAACACAAAATGACAGACTTACCGCATCAAGAAATTCCTCCAGATCAAGAACGACCCGAGCTTCAATTTGCCAATACATGGCGCTCTGTTTGCCTTCTTGAAGAAGCCACGTTCGCCCGGGATGAGGACAGGGGATTTGCTCACTGTTCCATTCACCCAAAACATAATGATAATACCTTAGTCATGTATCATGTTACTACAGGCTTTTGTCAGAAAACCTATGTCTAACATCACAAAAGCATCAAGCAAGGAATTGTCTTCTCTCATCAAGAATAAAAATAATAATTCAATATGTCCCTTTCACAGGAAATTTGAGATTTTAGCTCCGCACCTGCGAGTAAGATTAGGTATGAACTCCGCCAGTCTCCCATAGTCAGTCAAAACCTCCCAAACCTGTTCCTGGGAAGCTTCTACTCTGATACTTGCACTGATATGACGCTCCCGCCAAGACACAGCCTCGACATGGCACTCCACATTCTTTTCGGAATTGCTTGTGTCAGCATTCATGTTAACTGCATTCGCAGTGCTTACATGTCCCGTTGCTTGATCGGCATTCCTAAAGCCCTTGCTAAGTACCTTCTGACTACGATGGAGGTCCAAAGAATGCACTACAGGCTGAGTTGATTGAATCAGGTGATCGACGATTCTTCGGGCACCGCTTCTCAATCTCCCTCCGTTGAAAAGTGATAACTGTCAAGAATTGGGACATAGTTCAAGCGCCATTTTCCAATCGAAAGAATTCTGAAGTTCCAAAGCTTCAAGTCTCCTAGCACATCCTGCTGCATGATCCAGCATAGACATACTTACTTGCTCTTGTAAATCCGGAATAAGCTACGGAAATAATATCGATTAGGTTGGGGAGAGATGTGCACCTGTTGCGGCTGGAATTGCGACCAGGGTAATCGAGTTTTGTTGGATTCAGCCCCTACCTCGCCAACTTGTTCTAATATCTCCGAACGAAAGTCTTCATACTGCATCTCATTGTGTGACGATGACTCTGGTGCCCACGAAACCATAGCCATAGACACTACCCTTCTCCCCTTTGCAAATCCATTTGCATTCCCTCGCCATGCACGGATTTTTGGTACAGCGATGAAATCATCAGACTGTTCATTTGTGTTGGCCACCCGCCTGACTGCTGTGATGTCACAATTGTGATGCATTCCAAGAATCGTTGAGATGGTGGAATCAGAGGATACAATAGGGAGCCGAACGGCGTAACGATTACAGCCCAGAGACGAGACTTGTCTGCAAGGAGGCCTGCTGCTGCCGCTGCTGCGTTCCGACATACAGAGCAGCCTGGCTGATAACGCATTCCCAGTTGCCATGGCTGATGTTCCAGCCGTCAATTCCCTTTTCTTAGATTAACATCAGTGCTCTTAGGGCAGAATCACTGCTGATGAAACACCCAGAAACTCGTGAACAAAGACATTAACGGTAGACCATAAATGCCAAAACACGAGACCCTACTCCATGCTGACTCAAGTAATCCCCTCCTGGTACTCCTGCGGGAAAAAATATTCAAACATTCTTCAAACTATCATTTCCTGCACAGAATGTAGAACCGCCCCATCTCCTCACTCACTCGTTATTAGTTCCTACAAGGAAAATTTCTCTGATACGAACTGCAGAATCAATTTCATCAATCCAAGACAACAAATTCAAGTCGCCATCTCGCTTCCCGATCGCTCGATCACTCTTAATCTCAACCAGGCCAATTCAGAACCAATCGCCCCCCTACTCTCTGCAAGCCACTACATCTGCCGACGCTGATGATGCGGCAACTGATGATTGCTTGGGTTGTTGGTGTGTTCACCAATGAAGTCCTAGTCTGAAAATGCAGGGCAGATAGTTCTTTACAGGATTGGTTGAGAGCAACCGCGGCTTCTGGCTTCCAGTCTAGGTAGTAGAATAGATAACACAGAATCAGGCCGAGCCATCCTGGCCGCTCCCATACTTCTGGCTGTGGCGGTTCTTTACATACCCGGCTGAGACCCACGCAGGTGTTGTATGTTCTCGTAATATCTCATCACATGCGGTGCTTGTATTGTGCATTTAGGGCAGATCCCCGCCTATCACAACCCAGAAAACCCTCCTTTCTTCTTTCGCAAGTCTGGATAGGAACAACGAACTAGGCATGAAAGTGATGCCAATTGTACTTCTCTCAGCCTTTCAAAGCTACCCACTTTCTCGAGGCGAGGGCATTTTCTAAGCTCAGTGTGTAGGGTAGATTTTGCGGTCGTGTGTGGTTTCTGTTACCCCTCAGATGCTGCACAGAATCGGGAAAAATTATCATCCGTCGATTATAACATGCATGAAGTGTAACACATGGTGGATTATTCTTCTGGTCTCCGATGCTGCTCTTGTGCGACTTATATCCGAGTCTTTTTTCCGAAAAATGTTTTGATTATCTATACCATCAAATTAGACGCGCTTGTCGAATACGTTATGATGTGTTCACTTGTCAACGTTCCATGGAGATGACGTAGGAGGGGTGGATGCATTCCTGTTTCTCTGCATTCTATTTTCTAAATCTTCAGATAGATTCTCTATAGAAGTCAAGGATGGGGTGGTTAGGGCCAAAATCCTCCTCATTGCGCCGTGCTCTGCACACCCATTTCCTGTTCTCCTCATCAAAATTCTCTGGGGTCTTCTCAGAATCGCTCTCCTTGTTGACTGACCCGATCACAGCGAACGTGGGGTGTGTCATTGGTCAGAGTCCTTCACAAAAACCTCAAGAATTTCACCGGCCGGCAAGTGCTTCCATTGCGCGGCTTCTAGATGTTGGCCCTGCTTTCTGTACTGTCTTTGATGCGACATCATCAAAAGGCGTAGCATCACTATCTAAACGGATACATCAACGATTAATTTGCGTTGGCACTAGGACTTGTAATCGTACATCGTCTAGTAGAGGTAGGGTTAGGGGTTTAAATCAAGGAATGCAGTTGAAGAGAGGGTTTTCGAGTACAATTGTGAAGGAGGTGGAAGCGAAAAAATGCTGGTCGTGCGAAGAAACATCTACTGCAGCTCCATTTTTTGTTTGTTCTTCATGCAAGGCGATACAGCCATTAGATCATAGTATGGACTTTTTCCAGCTCCTCTCTGTGTAAGTCCCTGTTCGATATTGTTTCGTTTAACTCGTACTCTGCGAAGTTCAAAACATGGTCGACTCTTTTTTAACTTTTAGTAGCAAAGGTCTGGAATGTTCATATTAGCTCAACCTCATACTCCTCTGAAACAGCCTGACATGGATTACGCAAATAATACTTGAACGACTCAATGTCATTAGGAGTTTAGGGTACGATCCTAACAATGTTGGCTGATGCAGGGATACAAGTTATCTACAAGATTCCAAGATTCTAGAAAAGAATTACAAGCAGCTTCAGAAATTCCTTCACCCAGATTTGTCAAGCGGAAAATCTGAGGTCTGTTTCCTCTTTAGGCTTATCGGTAGACCACATTCATGGTTTCAGAAGCTGGTGAATGTGGTCGACCCATTCAGAATGTGAAGGCACCAGTTAATTGTTAAGATTAGTCCATTGATGTGTGTTGTACTGTGCTCTTTGAAATGTTTTTCTAGAATAGATCCGAATGCGTGATTTTTTTAGCTCTTCAAGCATTTTCACATTGACGCTTTGCATGCATATTATCCTCTTGCGTTAAATGATAAAATATATCCCTAAATCTTGTAGAGAGAGCAAGACTACTCGGCTGAGCAGTCAGCGCAAGTGATCAAGGCCTATTATGTCCTCTTGGATCCCTTGTCTCGTGCGCGATACATGGTAATTTTATCTTGAGCAGAAGTTCATCATTTGTTACTCTTTCGATGTCTTTCCTCCCAGCCTTTGTTTTTGATCTTCATTAGAAACTATATGGAGAACCTTGTAAATGACACATTCTTAAAGCCGTTTCAAATCCTTTCTCTTTGGGAGATGTGTAGTTTGTTGTCATTACTAGAGACATGAATAGTTGAAGCCATGGGCGATGATATTTTTGTGTGTGTCCTACAAATTGCGAATTTGATGGTAGTGTTAATAAAAGTTCCTTTGAGAAGTTGTATGGTCAACTCAGAGTACTTTGTGGATGAATGCGAAAGTTTGATGCGTCGTAGTTATCTTCTATGAAGCTGTCCTACTAAATGTAATATTCAAATTTCAATTAGAGGTTCTAAGCTATCGGAGTATTTTTTTTGTGATGTTCAGTTAAAACTGAATGGTGTGGACATTGATGAGGAAGTCACAATCCATGATCCTGCTCTGCTCATGGAGGTTATTTTCTTTACCCTAGGAGTAGTTTCTTCATAGCTTTAACAGTGACATTTCGGCTGTTATTCTTTCAGGTTTTTAATGTATAGAACTTATTGAGCATCAAATGTTACGAAACTTGTGCGCTTTACATGAATTGAACGGTAGGACAATTAGCAACATTTGTAAATCTGGACCTGTCTATGGGGTTGTTTCAAGTTATTTGAACGAGCGCCAATGAGCACTGTTGGATTTCATGCGAGTGGTGTACAGATACTCTTCTTTGGTGATCTTCGTTAAGAGTTCTGAAATTCTAGGAGGTAGTTCATTTTATGCCGCCATGTAACTGTAACTTGGCCTTTATTTGCATGTCCTTCCGATATTCTTCACTGCAATGATATGCACAATATTATACCAAACTGCTTAGCCGACTCTTAAAATGCCGTGAAATCGTGTTCAATTTTGCAGATTATGGAATTACGGGAAGAAGTGGAAGAAGCAACTGATCCTGTTAAGCTTGCCAAAATAAAAGAGCAGGTAGATTGAATTACCTCGGGCTTTTTTTCACACATTTCAAGAAGACTTAATGTAACAGACCAAAAGCCATGTTTAGTCTTGGTACGAATTGCTTGCCAACTGGTACGACTCCGCATTCATGAACAGCTTTTGTTTCTATGCAGAACAAGAAAAAAATGTCGGACTGTGAGAACGCTTTGAAGGAAGTATTTCAGAGCGGAGATGTTATGGGTGCTATTCCTCTTGTTCGGCGCATGACATATTATCATAAGATCATTGAAGAAATAACTAGAAAGCAGTAAGCTGCCATCTTACTTAACAGTTATATGACCCCATTAAAAAACTGTGGGCAAGGGGAAAGTTCGAGAGCGCTCCCACAGCTGAAGTTGAATTGGAGCCTTTCACGAACAGGAGCTTCCGAGCACCATTTCTTTGGAGGAGCTTGAACAACCTGCTGATCAAATATTCTGAATTTCACCAACTTTACTATATGGGGCGCTTGGTTTAGAAACAGCAAGCTGGATCTTGTGGATTATCAATCTGGCAAATCCTTATAGACCCAACAGAAGCAGTGCTGCTGGCCATATTCTGCAACCTTCCTTGCGATTCCCTACCGTTATGGGCTCATATCCCATGATGTCTCATCCTTCTCTTAATGTATGATGCGGTCATTTCATTTCATGGATACAAGGATGAGATAGTGTATGATCTTTTGCTTCGTGGATGAAGCAGGGGTAAATAAATGCATCAATTTATCAAATTCGATAGTCAACTTGTGCATGAAGTGTGATATCTTTTAGATTTTTGAAAAGCAACAGAAGTTGAAATGTGAGAACATGGTGTCTGTGGAAATTTATTGAGGTCGTTCACTGTGTACAATATTGTTCAATTTGGGGTTGTATAGGTGTTATAATTTTCAACATAGTTATTGGTTAATGAATGCACTATTTAAAATCCAAAGTCAATTAGGCCTAAACAATTATACATTGTATGTGATGCCTACATTGTAATGCTTATTTTGTTGTTCAAAGCATATAAATGAGTCATGAAGAGAATGTTTCAAAAATTTAATTAATGGAGATTGACAAAGCCAATTTGTTTGCAATATTAGAAAAACAAAACAAAACAAAATCATATTTGTGGATGACTATGATACTTACAAAAATGGAATTTATCTCATTGAAATTTGTACATAAAATACTAATTTCAACTTGATATTATATTATATTATTTTATTTGAATAGAAAATATACATACATTTAAAATTTTATACTATAAATTGACTCATAAGCCTATTATTGCACCAAACACATATTGTACCTAAAAAGTTGAATTCAATTGCACCTCTAGTTATGTGAACAGAGCTTCTGGGGCTCAAACCGGATAGGAGTCCCGCACCGGTGTGAAAAGGGCTATGCTTCAAATGTTTGTGTCCCAGCCCTTTGCTTCTTCAGAACGAGCGTTCGTTGCTCCTCGGTTTCTACGCCCTCCGTTGCAGCACCTCGCTGTCTCCGCTGGCATTCGCTCGGATGTGTCATTCCCCTGCTTCTGATTCTCTTTCAGGAGTTGGGGTTGATCCTTGATGCCCAGAGGAAAGCAAAGAGGCTGCGAAGGGCGAGTCTGAGTAGAACAAGACAGCGATGCCTCGACAATGAGCATGTACGACGCCTTTCTGTCAACTGGGGCTGGTTTGTTGTTCTTGGGATCAGTGACCACCTCTCTGTATTCTTTTCTTCTGGGGGTCTGCTCTTTGCTGTTTCATCGCACACAGCGATTAACATGCATTTTACGTGATTGGGTGCAATGATTCGGTTGAGATTCTAGTCTTGAGTGCGAGGTCGCATTGGAAGCTCTGACCTGCAAGTGTTGTCGTGCATTTTTTTAGCTGATTGGAATACTTTGAGAAATTGAAAGTTTGGAGATGGGATATTGAAACTAAGACTTTTACAAAGTGGGATTCTGACCTTTGGAGATTTTGGGTTTAAGGAAGTTTTGTGAATATTTGTGGGCTTCTTTCCAATGGAGTCTGGATTCTTATGTGTTAGACCCCAGTTGGAGCCAATGAGTCCTTCATTTCAGTCATTCGACTTCCTCACCATTCATGGTTGGATTCTTGTGCTGGCTTCACGTGGACGCAGGGTTTGTTCAGAAGTTGCACCACAGCAGACGGAACTCACCTGCGAGGTGTGGTGATAGCATCAGCTGGTAGGGAGACCGGGCCAGATATCTGCCTTCGATCGATACAGCTCTGCAAGCATAGGCGGAAATGGGAGGTGGAACAGAACGGGAGGTCCAGAGATTGGGATGTTGATAGCAGTACGGGCAAAAAAATCGGGCTGGCGAACGAATTGGGTAGAACTATTGTGATGTTGTAGGGTGATTCGGCATGGTTGCTGGCTAATGGTTTGGACGGAAGACGCGAGAGTTTTAGAAGTTGGCGGTCATGGCGGGCAGATTCGTATCGTAATGTGGCGGTGACTGGGAGTGGGAGTGGTAACAGGAGTGAAAGTATTGTGAAATCTTTGCTTTATGGTCTTGTTTACGTGAGTCCTATATGCGAAACGTTGCACAGAGGAGAGGATTTGCAGGCGCGCACGAATGCCTTTGAATGCTCGAGATGGTGGTTTGTCCAGAGATGTTGCAAATGTGACTTCAGTTGTCTGTTCGAGGTTTAGCCCGGTGCCTGGGATTAAGGGTTTTTTCAGTGGAAGGCACCAACGGCTGGTGGGAGAAGACAGCAATCGCATTCGTAATTGCCAAGACTCGGAGCGGAGAGACAGGGGCGGCGTGAGTTGTGACTCGGTTTCGGGAAGCATATGGTTCAGTGGGGAGTTTCGAATGTTAAGTCGGACCTGCACGTCGAAGCATCACGGTGAGATTTTTGTGCGATCTTGATGTGTCCTGTGTTCATCCACGCTGGTTTGATAGGAGTAGGAAACGACGATCGACAAGCATGTGCTGGTGAGCGAATGGAGATGTTATGTACGAGTTAAGATGATAGTCACGAGTGTATACTGAAGGAATAAGATATCGTTTGTGTATGATGACGTTTTTATGTGAGTGTTTAGTTGGTTTAAGGCAATCAGAGATGCATGAGAACATAGTGAAGAAAAACGGGCCTGCCTTTATGACGAAACGATTTGTATGTGCATAATAATGGCGGAATCTTTGTTCTCCGTCGTGTGGGAGATGTAGGTTGCTCATGTTAGTTGGCATTGCAAGTTGTATGCAAATAATCAATCGTTTTTGTTTTCTGTAGATATCTGTCACACCCACGACCATCTTAGTGGAATGGGCGATTTTCATGCTGTGAGCTCTTGGGGAGATGGAGTGGGTCATGCGCAGTGGTTGGAGTTATGCATAGCTGGCGTGCGAGTAGTTGGTGGTGCCATAAGGCTTTGATGAAGTTGTTACTTCGGCATCGATGCGTATGCGGCCTTGTAGAATCTCGATGCAGCTCCAGCTAAGCGTTGCCTGGGGTTTTGGATGTGGTGCGTGTTGGTGAAGCAGAAGGTATGGTATAATTCTCGCAGGATTAAGGATCTCCTGGGGTTGCAGTGGATTTTGCTGCTGCTGTCGGCTTGTTCGCAGAATACAACAGCTTGTATTAGATGAATGTCGTATTTGTCTATGACTCCGTTGTAGTGTTGATTCTAGTTTCTTATATCACTTGCTTTGGTGCGAGTGCTGGTATCGCGGCTTACTAGTGGAGGTATGTTTCGTAGCACTATGTGTCCGATGATTACGCGTGGCCTTGGACACTTAAGCTTTTAAGGATGATCAGTTGTTGAGATGGCTAGAGAGATGTGATAAATTTTGTGGTGTAAAGATTTGTTACGCATCCGTAGATTCCACGTTTCTTCGTGTCTGCCTTGTTGGGAATGTTTGGTGCACGTGGTTAAACATGGCATTGATCACGGTTTAGTGTGTGATTGATCTGTTTGGGTGCAGAGATCCCACGCAAATAATTTTTGAGGATTGGTTCGCTCAATTCTGGGCCTGAGGTGATCTATTTTGGATGACTTCTATACTCGAGCACCTTCTAGTGGCATTTAAGTCAAGGAGAGGGAGTTAACAAAAGGATTGCATTTGTAGTTCCTGATTACTATGTCATCTGAGGTTTGGCGCGCGACAGAGTTGAGCACCAAAGTCTCAGCTTCATCATGCTTGTAACTTCTTTTTCTGAATCTCGTTTCTTTGGCTTATATGTCGAGATCCAGTAGCAGGGTTCTGTAACTTCATGTTGTTAGATTTTAAGTATTTTTGAAAGGGATGTGTATATTACTGTAGATAGTGTACCCTTTAGACTGATGTAACTTCTTAGGTTTGAGTTCTAATCAGAGTTATTCCCTGTGATTTCTTTATTTCTAAAATGACATGTCTAGCTAGAAGTCTTATTTTGCTACCATTCACTGGAGTGGTCAGGCCAGCACTACAGCGCACTGTTCGAAGAAATGTCGATTTTGGCGGCAAATTATGGACTACACGCCGGTATCCTCTCTGTCGGCAAGTTGTAGCCTTCGATAGTGGTTCTGATCAGGCTTTATCACATGACCAATCAGTAAGAAGGTCCACATTAAACGACGCACAGAAGTGCCAGGGTTGGTACTTTGGTGCTAGTGATAAATTTGACAAGAGAGGCAGCTCTGTTAAAAACCTCCTCTCTGAAAATGCTACTTCAGCACAGTCTCGACTTATCAATCATGAAATTGCTAGTTCTCCTTTTTCTGGAAAACGCTCTGGAGTGAGCGAGGCGGAGCTAGGTACTGAAGCAAGATCATTGTACCCTCGGTCAAGAAGTGCTGGTGGTCGACCACCTTTAACAGATCATGAGGAAGCTGAGTACGTATCACACGTGCAGGTATTATTTGGTTTAGTCATTCTACATGCTAGAACTTCTTCTGCCTTAGCTTGGAAGCGACCACTTATTTAGTTATTCATCACGCTTGTCAACCAGTTTTTCTGCAAACCTTCCAGTTTGCTCATACTTAATGCAGCTTGACTTCGATTGTGTAATTTAACACTGTGAGCAAGTAGTTGGTGTCGAGAGTAAGCTCTTACTGAGAATTTGTACAGGATTTACTCGCACTGGAGGCTAAGAATGTGGAATTGGAAGAGCAGCTTGGGCGGGTACCAACTGTGCAGGAATGGGCCGATGCTGTTGGCATTTCTGTTTTTGCCCTTTACGCCAGGTACTTCTTGCATTTGTAATGAGCTTTTCCCCACTCGCATCTGATCTATTGCATGTGTTTTCATACCATTGACGAGGCATTACTTTAAGAAGGCTAAATTGTTTTTGCTGTATGAGATAACTCATTGAAGAAGGGGTCTATTAGTGGAAAAGTAATTCCAAGAGAAAGTGAGCCTCATGTGTCGTGCTTGAATCCAGTCCTTCGAAGTTACGGTGTGATCAATATTTTTTCTTTTTCTTTTTCTTTTGTTACAACATATTTTATTCTAAATGATACCGTTGTGTAGAGTGGGGAGAGGACGGGCATCTCAAAGAAAGATGGTCGAAGCAAACACTCGGCTTGTTCATTCAGTGGCACAACAATTCCATGGGCGGGGATTATCGCATGATGAGCTTTGTCAACAAGGGTATATTGGACTTTTGAAAAGCTCAGAGAAGTTCGATCGCACACGAAGCACAAAATTCTCTTCTTATGCTTTCTTTGGGGTGAAGAATCAAATGCGTATTGCATCTGAGAAGTTCGGTCGTGAGTTGAGGATAGGCCAAACGGTCTATGCAAATATTTCAAAACTATTGGGACATAAGGATGACTTCGTTATTGAGCATGGAAGACAACCCACATCTGATGAACTTAAGAATATCGCAAAAATGAGTGCAAAAAAAATACGCGAAACGTTTCGGACTATGCCGTTCGTGAAGTCATTGGAAGCTTCAGGTTTGCATCCTGACCACCTCTTTATACGTGCTTAACATTCTGTTCTCAATGTTCTGTCTACCAGACGTTATACTCTATACCTTGCACAATGGAATGTCTGCGTTCACTGATAATGACCAGTGGTTTGCAGAAGCTGGTTCATCCGAAAGTAGCATTCGTGGCGGAAAGCACTATTTGCAGCAGTTAACAGACCACTCTTTTACATGTAATCCTTGGGCGTTTTTACGTGATGGAGAACAAAAGACTGAAGTCATTCGAGTACTATCTTCACTTACGCCTCATCAACAAGAAGTTATGCATCTGCGCTATGGACTTGGGGGCCACCCTCCACTGTTGAGATCTGAGGTAGCCTTAGTGTTGGGAGTTTCTTCGACAGCGGTACTGTGCACTGAGAAGAGAGCGTTGGACAGATTGCGCGAACTTGCTTTAGAAGAGGGACTATTGAACTACCTAAATGACAGTTTCTGGAACTGATGAAGCACTTTTCATGGAGAGATAGAGTTATGCCAACTTAACGAGTTTCCAGGGTTAGCTTGCTGCACTTGTGTTCCATTGTACCATCAGCTACCATATGATCAGGTGACCACAGGTTCTGAAGACGTGATTTCAAGCATGTTCGTGTTAGGACATTGCTAAGAATGCCCAACAGTTGCAGCAGCCTAGTTGACATTGATGAAATTCTTAAAGGTCTAATTAGGCAATTTTATTTTTTTTTACCTATTTTCAATTTTTAATTTTTAATTGACAGTATATATATATATATATATATATATATATGTTGTCATCTCATCTACGTTCATAACCATTAAAAGAATGTCCACTAAAATATGGCATCTTGAAGTTCATTTATTTGCACAAACAATTGATATGTTGAACATTTATAAGAGAGTCTTTGTACCTAGAGCCCACTTTAAAAGGTCATGATCTCAAAGGCCAATGAAAATCTCTTGTTTGGTAAAAAACGTATCTTTTTGGGAGCCTTGATCAATGGAAACAACTAAAATTGAGAAGAGGCCATGACATTGACCGGTTTTTTATTTTATTTTATTCTATAATATATATATATATATAATTGATTGATTGATGTAATCTTAAATAAAACAACTTGTATCTCAACTTTAACAATTATAGCAACTATTAAATAAATAAATATAATTTCTATGTATTTTTAGCAAAGTTCGATATGATTTTTTATTTTACTTTGTTTTGTAAAAACAACTTCTTGACAGAAACTTTAAAAACAAATTCTTAAAAACAAACACCACTCATGAATATTAGAAAGAATGTTCCACCTCATCTTTTAATTTCATGCCTTCTTGACCAATTTTCTTAAATATAAATCAACAAAGGAAGACTTCTCAATTTCAACAGATCATAACTTTCTAAGTTTTCAGAGTCATACAGCATTTTCTACGGGACCCCAATACCAGCAACCACCCCAATGCCCCCCCAAATACCAAGGCAAAATGATTAGGAAGCAGACAGTGAAGAAGTGTCAATAGTGGATACGGATGATCCTTTAAAGAATTATCGGCATCAATACCAACTACCGACTGAGTCTTGACGGAAGGGCTCAGTGTAACGGAGCGATGCCGTTGAAGCAGTCGGTGCAGTAAACATGCACGTGGTCCAGCTTCCGGGGATACAGAGGCACCCACCCTGTCAAAGCCAATCCAAGCAAAAGGAAAATAGTAGCAAAACCAAAGGGAATTGAAGGCGATGGAGCCCAGTGTCAGGGCACACAACCACCCACTTGCTACCGCCATTAATGGCTGTTGTGTCGGTAAACCTCAACTGGCGTTGCACAAGAAGTGCCGAGCGAACAGATGATGTAAAGCTGCAATCATGAACATCACTGACGATGATTCCCTTGCCCTCCGCCTCGTCTCCGATGCCGGGTTTGCGTGTATTCGCGCGTCGTAGCAGTCTGTGGCGTGCACTTCGCAGCGACACGCACCGAGGTGGGCTGTGGGGTACTGGATTGGGGTGTTTGTTACGATAGCCTGGAGTAGGTGGAGGGGTAGGTTGGGGTGATCTCGACAGTCTAATGCGAATTGGTGCCGGATAGCTTCTAGTTCAAGGTTTTGAGCGTTTTGGGAGGCGTGAGGACAAGGATATGGCATGCATCTGGTAGGTGATGATTGCCAGCGTCGTTTGATTAGGGTTGAGATTGCGTTGGAGGTGGAAAATTGCGTCTTGGGGTGGGGATTTGAGAGTGTTGGGTAGGTTGGTGGAGTGTTTTGTTTTGTTTTTGTTTTTGTTTTTTTGTGGGTACGTGAGATGGGAGACGAGAATGAGAGAGCGTTGGCGCAAGTGCATTGGGCTGTGCGCAACGACGACGCGGATGCATTGAAGAAGTTATTGGACGAGGGAGATAGTGCTGCGTTGGTCAATGCTGCGGACTACGACAAGCGCACGCCCCTTCACGTGGCGGCCTCCTCCAAGAGCCTCTCGGCTGCTGTGCTGCTTCTCAGCGCGGGCGCTTGGGTCGATCCTGTCGACAGGCGGAACAACACTCCGTTGGCTTACGCGCAGAAGTCGGGATTCAAATCTATGGTGAAGTTGCTGACACGTTACGGTGCTCAACCGGTAGTCGATCCTGGGCGTAAGGGGGATGAAGGTGGCAACCTGAAGTATCCCCCTCAAAGCTGGGACTGGTTGATTGACGACCCTAGTGAAATCAACATGGATGAAAGCGTGCTCATCGGCAAAGGATCATTTGGGGAGATCCGACAGGCGAATTGGCGTGGCACCAAAGTCGCTGTGAAGACCATTCGACCTTCGTTGTCCAAGGTACCTGAGTGTTGTGCACCCGAAAAAAGGAAAAAAGAGAAACGAAAAACTCTAAGTAATGGCATAAAGAAATGGTAGATCAGATTCTATGTCATATCGTGGAGTTTTTTTTTTTTCTTTTGTAATGGAAGCAGTGGGCTTCGGTACTTATACGTAAGTTGTACGCAGGATTAGAATGTTGTTGAATGTTTTGCGGTGATGTGTGGGTGAATCCAAGGACCGGGAAGTAAGGAAGGACTTCCTCAACGAGGTGGAGTTGTTGGTGAAGTTGCGCCATCCAAACATAGTGCAGTTCCTGGCCGCTGTGATCAACAAGCCCCCGCTCATGCTCGTTACTGAATACTTGCCAGGAGGGGATCTCCACAGATTGATTCAGAAGGGTCCCGTGCCTGCAGATTTGGCTGTCGCACTTGCGCTTGACATGGCTCGCGGGATGGCTTACCTTCACGGCGGCCCTAACGTAATCATCCATCGCGACCTCAAGCCTCGGAATCTCATAATTGACGAAGCCAACGAACTGAAGGTTGGAGACTTCGGATTGAGTAAGCTCATCAAAGTGGCAAACATACATGAAGCGTACAAGCTAACAGGGGAAACTGGCAGCTACCGGTACATGGCTCCCGAGGTCTTTCTGCGCCAAAATTACAACACAAAGGTGGATGTGTTCTCCTTTGCCATGATACTGTATGAAATGTTCGAAGGCGCTTCACCCTTTTCTGGCTATGAGGCTTATGATGCCGCCTCCAAGGTTGCGAGGGAAAATCTACGCCCCGACTTCGATGCCAAGATTCATTACCCGGATGGTATGAGGGAGTTGATCACCGAATGCTGGTCAGAATTTCCCGAAAAACGGCCCCAGTTCGATGACATCGTTCGGAAGATTGAGCAAATTCAAGAGAAGACGTCGCAACAAGATCGGCATTGTTTTCGTCATCTCTTACAACGCATTCATCGTCACCACAGTGAGTGATGACTACAAGCCCAGTGGCTTTCGAGTTAACCTTGACCTTCAAGTTCTACTGATCAAGTACATTCCTTTTCAGCTCAATTACACTAACCTTGAGCTTTAGGACTACAAATATGATCTCCCAAGCTTGTGGTGACAGTCACCAGTGCTCTGAAAGCTCAACAGTTGGGAGCCGCTTCGTTTCATTCGGTACCGACAAAACAGTAGGACGTCTTTTTCGATGCAGGATGATGCATCACCAACTCATTTTCTCTACAAATGTGTCGGCATGATAAGAAATCCACATTGGTGGACAATGTTTGCATGCGTCCTTAGTTTTATTCCGTGGTAGAAAGGCCACTGATGATTGAGTAAACCGATTTTATCTTTTCAAATGTTGATATCGTTTATGATTCCACTACGCTTCCTTGTCTCCATTTTGTTTGTATTTTGTTAGTTAGTTTTTATTTTGTTTTTTTGTATTTTCTTTAACCCAAACTGGTTCACGAATCGACCGCACAGCATGTTCGTCAACATGGGTCATTAAATACATGTCCTTTGCATTACAATCCACTTTATGTATAAGTGATGACATGGATGAGTGTTTTATTACTAGAGAATTTAAACTTTGTATCCATAGGATGAGGTAGCAATGAAAATAACAGATGTGTCTACTGGTTTTATTTCAAATAAGCTTCTTTTAGTATCTTCAAACAAGTGTAATAGAGTACCTCAAAGTATATGTAGAGAATAATTACAAGGTTGGATTTCAAAAGCAGAAATGTGAAGAAATGTTTTGTTATTGGTAATTGTAACTTTAAGAAAAACTGTTGTACTGTTTTTGGTAATGATTCAACCATGCAATTGTCTACAACACCTCTGTAATAACTATTTAAGGATATGAAAATTTCAATCTTTAAAATAAATTAGTGTTTGAAAAACAATGAGATAAAACACATGACTTTCACACTAAATTTTGTATACATGTATGTATATATAAATATATAATTTTTTTATGTATCATTACCTAAAGATATTTGTTGTACCATTTACAATCAAAAATATTATTTTATTAATTTAACTTAATTTTCTATGCAATCAACACAACTATAAATTAATTTACAGAATTTATATTACCAAATAAGTTTTTTTTTATTGTATTAACAAAAAAAAAAAAAAAAAAAAAAGAAAAACTCATAATTATAAAAATCATGTCTATATACATAATTAGTTTTTATCATGAAAATTTAGATTAGTTCAACTTCAAGGTAAAAATAAAATGACGGAATTGAATACAAATAATATATAATTTTTATTTACTTATTTTTTAATTATTGAAATAAATAAATATATTACATTATGAATTTTTATTCTTATACTATTCAAGATATAAAATTATTTATTTAAAAAATAAATAAATATACATAATAAAAAAATTAATTGTAGAAAATTTGGTATTTTTTTTAAAATTAAAGCCATTACATGTTGGTTAATACTGGAAGCATATTTTTAGAATCTTACTAAAGAATTAGAATATATTCTATTCTTATATTCTTATTTGCAAGCAAAGTTTGAGATAAGATAATCTACTTAATAATTTTCTTAGTTTTTTAGATTTTACATTGCATCTAATTTGTAAAAATATATAAAAATATATATTTTTCCATTATCATGTAATACTTAAAAAATACAGATTATATAATTAGGAAATATTTTAAATTTTACTAATTTCTTAATAAAAACATGTCATTGTAATAAATTTAATATTATAAAATATATGAATTTTTTTTAAAGAGAAATTTTAAATAATAAATTCTTATGGTTTTTTATTATAAATATATATATATATATATGTTCTTTCTTTTTTATTTAACTATAATTATTTATTTATTTTTCATCTTACAAAATAATATATTAATAGTAGAATTTATCACTTGTTTTAATTTTTAACTATAGTTTTATAATTTGGATATGAATTATTTTAACAATTTCTAATATTTTAGTATATAGCTTTGATTTTTTAATATTTTTATGTTCTTTAAAATATAACCAAATTTAATACTCTTTTTTATATAGAAAACTTTAAGAATATGATTTAAATAGACTTAAGAAATTATAATATTCTTATTTCTAATTAAGAAGTATATAAATAAATAAATAAATAAATAAATAATCATGTAAAAATATTGCAAAATAGCTATTCTTAATCACAAAAAATCAAAGAGTAATTAATATTGAAATATAAAGAAGTAATAAATAAGATTGAAGATGGTCTTAATTTTTTCCAAGTTATATATATATATACACCATGTAAAAACTTCTTAAATCCAGAAGGATTGCAAGCTATACATCTAAGTTGCAAGACAATTCTACATTAGCTTTCTAAAAGTAAAATAAAATTTAGAAATATATTACAACCATGTAACATACTTATAGGTTCAATTTATATCTAACAAGATTTTTTAAAATTTAAAATTAATTGCTATTCTTCAATTAAGAAATAATAATTATTAAATATTATAGATATTTACAATTTTATTTTTTTATAATTATTTTTAATAAAAATATTTTATTTATAAAATTATTTTATTATTTATTAAAATTTTATTTATCCAATAGTATATGCTACAACTTTTTATCTATGTTTTTTTTAAGAAATTGATATATTTTATACATATAATAATTATATAAGCATAAATAAGTAGAATTAAATATAAATATTTAAAAGTATATTAAATAGATGCTATATTATTAAAATAATATTAAAAAATTACTATGATGTATATATGTTTATATATATATATATATATATATATATATATATATATATCAATTAGCAGAAACTTAAGCCGTTTTGCATAGAAAAGTTGTAAAAGCTTCTATAAGCAATCTTTGTCATATTATAGGACCATGGAAAGCCTTGTATTCATGCATTCTTGCATTCTCCAAGTTCCTATGCTCTTACATTCTAGTGTTTTAACAAACTCTCTACAATTCATTGTTTATGGCTAATGAGAAGACTTCTTTGTCTCTTTGTTTTATACCCAAGTTGTTTTATATAATAGATGTGATTTATACATATATTATTTAATTATAATTTAGAGAGAGTTTGTTAATTACTTTAAATCATCATTGAATTTTACATCTCTTATTAGATAATAATGTATATGTATTAATCCCAAAAATAGTTTTTTCCTTAAAAAATTGATAATTTATAATTAAAATTTATATTAAAAGGATTTTTTTTGTAATTACTAGTTTGAACCTAATTGCAAGGAATTAACCTAGATAAAAAAAAGAAAAAAAAAAAAGATTCATACTTTAAAATATAATTTGCATTTACAATAAGTTAGAATCGAACTTTAAAAATAAATAACAACAAAAAAAAATCACAATAATTAACTAATCATTAGTCTTAGTAGTTACTTATATTATCTCTATTGATTATTAGTAGCTAATTATCTTTAATTAATCACTATTTATTCTTTTGACATAATTTTTCCTTTTAATCTTAAAGAATTCTTTGATTCCAATTTAGAAGAGTGGTCTTAAAACTCAATACTTAATATGTTTGAATAGGATTTAGATAGAATTTGAATTTGGTCCAAAAATATATTTCATAACAAGTAATATTTTAGATATGCAATTGCAATATTGTCTAAATTATTGAAATGCCTAGTAACTTCATTTTTTAGGTTTTTTGGCTATTGGATCTTTATTGTTAAATAAAAGCATATGAGTCTTTAATGATTTGATATAAATTTTATTATATTTGGAGAAGATATTAGTACCCAATTAAAGAAATAGATAATAATTTAAGGTATTCTAGGCATTTTTTTTTTTATGTAGTAGTTAAATTAATTTATATGTTGGAGTTAGATTTGACAAGTTTATAAACTAGTCTTTGACCTTGGTAATATTTCAATACCAAGTCTTTTAAAACATAAGCATTATGACTACTTATTGTTTAATGTTGATTTGTGATGCTTATTACATGTGGTGTTTAACTATTGCTTAAAGTTCATCAGCTTTCAAAATCAACTTGTATTAGGTCTTTTAGAACAAAAAGAATTTAAATTTAAATTTTTTGTCAAAATAGAAGAGCATCTAAATTATATTTTTGTCCTGAATTATGTTAGGTTAGCCATATCTAATCCATATCAAGTGTAAGACTTAGTAAAAATAACTTATTTTTTGTGTATATTAGTTAGACTAATTCTTTAATTCATCTTTCAAAGTCTCATTTTGTTCTTATACTGTTGTTAGTTGGACTGTAAAGTTTGGTACTTGGTATTAACAATCCTTGCTAATAGTTGTTTGTTCATGAATCTATTGCAAATGAATATAAATAATGTATTTTTTTTTTATCAATGGCTAAAAATATAGCATAGTCATAAATGATGTTGTAATTCATAATTAAAACATTCTTGACCTAAGATCCAATGATCTTAAGATACTTTTGAAAATAAATGATGGTCTTAAAAGATAGTGGCTTTACTAAGAAAAGAGGTAGGATAGTTGTTGGTTTTAGATTAGGATACTAGATTGCAACATATTATGTAGTGATTTTGAAGGATACAAAGAGGGCTTCAAACATGAGGTATGGTTTAATTAATATATAAATATTTTGGATTGAAAAAGAGCCTTTTAATTGTATCAAAAGTATATTCAATTCATATTTAACAATAAAAACAACCTTTAACAAAGGTTATTCTGATTTAAAGGCACAAGGATTTAGCTTTGCAATAGAGGATGTTGTGTCATGGACATACATATGTAAGCCAATAATTACGTGTATAAATAAGTAGAAGTAGATAAAAGTAGGTAAAAAATAAATTAATTTTATAATATCTTTTAAGGAAGCTTCTTAGAAACTTCATAGATATTGCTCTAACTTTATAGGTATCCATTGTTGACTTTTAAATTAAAAACTTGGTCAATAAATTAACCATGTGCTATATATGTTGGTAGCTTGAAGAATAAGCTAACTATGTAGCGCTTATATAGAAAAAACTTGCCTTGTAAGTCAAGGCATGTGTCCTAGAAAGTCAACACATATTGGAGGTCATATAGAACATCGCCACATAGTCCCTAGTTAGATAATATATATAGAGAGAAGAGTGAAGCCTTCTTCACTCTTGTCAATTCTTTTTTTGCTTCTAGTCTAGTTTCAAGATTCTCAAGTTTTCTTGTCTTTTGATAATAAGCTATTCCAGTTTCTTTTAATATATGTACTTTCTTATTTTTATTTTGTCACTTTTTCTTTGATATGAATTGCATTGGTTTATGCAGCATCTTTCAGTTCATATCCTTGACAGATTGACAAGAGTATACTTACAATATCAGAGCTTTGTCTTGTCTTAATTAAGAGTGGATTACCTCTTTCTCATGATAAGACATAAGTATATTAGAAGTTTCAGA